TGCGGCCCCCTTATTCCTCCTAGATCCTCTTCAGTGATGACAATCTCAGGAAATGTATATTTGGACGGTCGTTCTTGGTGAACGGAATTTACATCTAACCGCCTTATATTATCTTTGTTGCCCCTAATAGTGGGGCCGCCTCCTGAGAAGCCGCCTGCAATGGTGTAGACGACTGCATCATCTGTATCGGAACTGTCGGCCTGTTGATTCTTTTTGGCCGACTGCTTTTTTGAGGAAGTATTCCCCGTAGATTTCTTGACATAAGTGTCAAGATCACCTTGATCAGCCAAGCGGTCTAGGTACCGCATGAGACTAATGCAGTCGTTGGTGTGATGACCAATGTCATCATGATAAGCACAGATTTTGTCTTGGTTCCGGTTGCTCGCAGAACCCTTCATGGGGAGCGGTTTCTCAATTGAGAGCCGTCCCTTTATTTCTTTTAGGATAAACTGGTTATCCTTGTTAAACACATACTTTGGGGAGTATGGTTTGAATTCCTTTTTCTTCTTGGCCGGCTGTTTAGAGGAATCAGCCGCCCAGACCCCTTTTCTTTTTTCATCTTTGTTGGACGACTGTTTCTGTCGTCCTTCTCTATTGTCGAACCTCTTCCCGTCCGACTGTTTCATTGTACACAGATCAGTCGCCTGTATATAGGCTTCTGCTTCAATCAAGGCCTCTTGAAGAGTCGCCACCCTTTTTCGAACTAAATCAAATTTGAAGGTAGACCCGTCTTTGAGACCTCTAAAAAAGTCAGTATAAGCTACCTCATCCGGTAACCCTTGAATCTGTATTCTCATCAGGTTGAACCGCCTGATGTAGGAACGAAGCCCCTCCTTTTCACCCTGCTGAATTGTTCCCAAATCAAGGGTCGTTTTCTTCGCAGGGATGTTCATTGCAAAGTTGGAGGCAAATAAGTAAGCAAGCGTCCTGAAACTGTTTACACAACCAGTCGGCAGGTTGCCGAACCATTGCTGTGCAATTCCCTTGAGAGTTGCTGGGAAACACTTGCACCAAGTGGGATCATCCAACCCTTGAAGGTACATCAGGTTGGTGAATGCCATCAGATGGTCTTCCGGGTTAGTAGTGCCATCATAGGCGCCTACTAAAACATTTTTTACTTTGGCCGGCTGAGCGGCTTCAGTAATTTCCTTGGAGAAGGCCGACGGCTGTTCACCAAGTCTAAGCAGCCGTAGCTGCCAGTCCATAGGTTGGACGTTTTTTGCTGCAGGTCCACCAAATGGAGGTGGCTGCATAAAATATTGTTGTTGCGGCACAAATGGCAAATTTGGTACCGCCTGCGCACTATGAAAGCCAGACTGTCGGGAGGTGCCGCCTGACTGACTCTCATGGTACGACTGAGTTGGCCTCATCGAGGCATTTCGCAAACTGTCCTGAAAATTTGAAGTAGAAGCCGACTCTGATAATCGGTCACTCCTCTTCTGCTCTAGCAGGTGCCGAGCATCTGTGAACGTTTGCTTTGACCCGTCCGCCTGAATATGACGAACCGGTTTCCTATTTCCCGTAGGATAACGGAGTTTTGTGAAATCAAGAGCAGACGGCTCCCGCTTCTTAGATTTAGGATGGGGAGTCGCCTCTCGCCCTTGAACTGGCTTCCTCTTGAGTGAAGTGGAAGGTTTTTTGGCCGCCTGCTCTTTGACTGAAGCAGGCGGTTTTTTGTTGATCAACTCTTGGATCTCTCCCTTGAATCCCCTCATGAAGGTCATGAGTTCGTTCCTTGTGATGGGAGCAGACCCATCAGTCGGCTGTTGCCGAGCAAGCGGTGCGCCTGCTGGCTCGCTTCCTGTTTGAAGATACTCCCGTTCCCTTATTTCAGTATGACGGGTACGGCGGGCCCTTAGGGTCCCGTCTGGAGCTGTATGAGTTTCAACTTCAAATTCACTTTCGGTATCATGGTCCGACTGAACTTGAGGGTCGTCTAGGGGACGCTTCTCTTCTGGGGTCGGTACAGACTTGGATGCCATCTCTGAAGTACTCTCCCCACAGACGGCGCCAAATGTTTCGGGGTTTTCTGATGTCCTGCGGGAGAGTTACAATTCCGAGACTGGAACCGGACGCCTGTACCTGCAAAATAACGGAGACTCCTGAGAGCTCCGCCTCCAACGGTCAAGTTAGTACCTGATTAAGGAGTAATTAATACAGAAATTAAAGTAATAAGGTCTCTCTAGGTGAGAGTATTTAATGTAGGTAATCTGCTTTGCTAGCGAGATCAGCCGGTTATTAGTGTGTTCCGTAATGTATTCGGTCCCTTGATTAATGAGGATTAATCGAGTATTTATAGCCTTGGGAAGCGTGCAACTCTCTAGGTTTAAGGTAAACCTAGGGCCGAACGGGCTTCTAGACTGAAATGGGCCTTGATGGCCGGTTGTCCCATTTGGCATGGGTGGACACGTGGCGTGTCTTAAGTGGTCCGTGGAGGACGCGTGGCGGAACCTGGTTGGTCCACTTGTCAAACGGCGCTTGGTGGATAAAAATCCCCTAATCAGGTCTAATTACACCTGACTAACCTACACACTTGCTAAGTTGCCTTTGCATTATTTCAATCATTATATTTTTTATTACTAATATGTAAAAATTATAAAGATTTTAAATCAATAAATTATAAACCAGGGTCAAATATAATAATATTCAACATAATTATTATATATTTTTTAATTTTAAATTATCAAAGCTAGTAAAATTAAAGTATATAAATTAGGGTTGTTCATCGGTCCAAGGCCGGACCGGACCAGACCTGGCGGAATCAAAGGCCGAAAATTAGAATTTTAAGAACCAAAGACAGGAACGATTAAGCTAGAGCCAAACTTGGACCGGACCAAAAGAATCAGTCCAAAACCCGGACTGGACCGCTTTGGACTGATTTAAGAATTTTTTACTAATTTTATGGATAACTCGAAAAAAGTAAACGAAAATCTACACTTTAATGTCTTTTTTTTTTGTATATTTAGTACAAAAAAAACTCATAAATTTAAAGTTTTCTACCTTATTAAGGATTAATTTAACCATTATTTAAGGTTTCACACATATTTTTAATTAAAAAATCGATCCAATTCAAAACTAGTTTTTATAGGGTTTTAGATCAGACCAGATCGATTAATTTGGTTTGATCCGATTTGAGGTGGTCCGGTCCATTTTTTCGGTCCAGACCAATTTATAAACCCCCGAATATAAATAGTATAAAAATTAAAGTGTAATACTCTATAACCGAAGAGTGCAAGTCCATCATTTTACAAGGAGGTTTCACCTCAAAACCATATGACAATGAGGGGAGTAGCCCCTTAGCCTAATATTGTGGTGGTAACTCTTGAATTCTTTCAATGTGAGATTCCATTACCACTACAATGCATGATCCCATCATTTGCATAGTTGCATGTTGCCAAATTAAAGTATATAGATAAAGTCAATTAAGTGTGCTCGATCTTTTGTTGCTTTATAACATTCAATTCAATGAAAGCGCTGCTTAAGTAGTTAAGTCTTTTTCGCCCTAGTTCATTTGGTTTCAACTGAAGAAGCAAATAAGAGTGTATTTTGATCAAAAATCAGTTCACACTCACTTAAATGACATTTTCTAAGGAACGCAGCTTTTCCCCTTTCTTATTCTTATTCACACACACACTATTACAATCTTAAAACTCGTATACCACAAAACAAAACTTGCTGTTATTTTTATTGAATCCTTCTATGTCATATAGACATATAGTACTATAGTAGGCATGTGGTCGGTTGTTGTACTGTTCTTGTTATTTATTTATTTATTTATTTATTTTTTGTGGGCATTGTTGCAAGTAAGATCTTAATTATTCTATCATTCTAATTTTCAATTATTTCAGATTAAAAAAGTTTTGAGAAAAATATGTTCAATAAAATTTATAAGTAAAATATAAGCTGGTTAAAAGTTATAAAACACACCATACGCTGGTTACTTTTTGTTAGATACACTTGTTTTTAACTTCTCAATTTTCAAAGCGCATTTTTTTTCTTTTTGGATAAAAGGTAAATACTACGTATATTAATTAGATAAGGCCCAACAGGGCTCAAAGTAGTAGCAACACTAGAAGTAGTAGAAGTTATATGAGACTATGAGAGTTAGGAGTTCAGTATAATTAAAGTTTACAACCAATTGGTTCCATACATACTTCCTCCATTCTTTTTTACTTGACTTACTTTGACTTTTACACTATTCACCACCTTTTATTTGACTGTCTTTTGTGAAAAATAGGTAAGGAAAAACATATTCATGTTGGATATTTTTGAATTCGTTTCAAAATAAATACTATTATAATATATAACTTTTATATTTTTAATTATAGAAAATTAAAGTTATTGATAGTTAAAGTTTTGCATTGGCAAGCGTGATAAAAGAAACAGGTACAGTAAAAAAAAAAAAAACAGAGGAAGTAACATATTAATAATGCCCACATCCCGGCTTTGAATAATAGAACTATCAAGGAAGGGGTTAGCAGCTAGCTTCCACATCAACTCATGCCCACCAGGCACCAGACCAGTTTGGGATGCTAGAAGGTGGGCTTGAATCACCTTGCCTCTTGGGAGACTGAACGTTCATCCCCTCTGATGTCGCTTAAGGGAGGTCTGATAACAAAATTGTAGAAAGTTAAAATTTTGAATATACATCGAAAATTTACGAGCATTTCATGTGAAGTTCGAATCTCATCGAATGCAGAAAACTCTTGTTGGGAGGCTCACCCATCAAATGCCAAGGTGTGCAACCCGGGTCAGGCCCGGATCGGATGTAGTCGGAGTTAAGCTTTGGTGAACCGGGTGGAGCAAACTCTACTTGTTAGCCTTGACTTAAGAGTGCAAAAAAGATTTGGAATATAATTTCTCATGTTTGTTTCGTCTTACAAAAGACATTATACTATGTAATTTTATTTTTCATGTAGGGTACAACTGTACAAGCTTATAAAAGCTAAGACATTTACGTACTCGTACTAGGTTGTTTTAACACACCAAAAAAAATAAAAATGATCTCCTCTGCTTTCTTTAATAATAGCATCCAATTTCCTTTCATCATAATCCTCCTCTTCATATTATTATTTGTTGGCTTGTCAAATGGTGAAGATATAAACTATAAAACTTGCTCGGCTCCGTTCTCTTGCGGGCAAATTAAAAACGTCCCATACCCGTTTTGGGGTGGGAATCGGCCTCAAATTTGTGGTATCCCAAATTTCGGGCTCAATTGTGATAGCGGTGATAAAAAAAATTACCCTATTATGAATTTTGCTCATAATGGATACACTATGTTAAGCATACTTAATATTGGTACGTCTACACATACCATGTTAGTTTCCCTAGATAATTTGATTCAAAAATGTCATTTGTTCAATACGAACAAGGTAATATTGCTTACCAATTTAAAGCCAGCCAAAATTTACAAGATAATATACTTGTACTATGGTTGTGCTAGTCGTTGCGTCTCTAGGTACCACCCTTACTACTCTTTTAATTGCACCAACGATTACAAGGGTACCATTAGTAGTGTTTATTACTTTGGAGGGTCGTCAATGCCTTCTGTGCGGCCATTAGACACGGGTAAATCATTGTCGTCGTCGTGCTCGTGCAGTAACAAGATTTATGTTGCCGTACACGAGAGAAGATTAGACGAGCTTAGAAGCGGAAATGCCTCACTTTTAAGTATTTTAACCACGCCAGTTGGGATGGAGTACATGGCCAACTTCACTGCTTGTTCTAAGTGCCAAGAGTCTGGTGGAAGATGTGGTTCATCGCCTTGTTTAGATGAGTTTGTGTGTTATTGCCCAGATGGACCTTGGTCGTTAGCATGTTCCCAATCAGGTACGTGCAAATTTGCCTACTCCCTCTGTTTCAAAATAAATGTGATTATTATAGAAACTAGATTCAGGTTATTGGGTTGTACTTTTCCTAAATTCTCATATAATTATAAGAGAGACCACAATTGTATATGGGAGACTAATTAGGTTGAACTAAAACATTTTTTTCTACGTATCAATTTAACCAACAGTTCTCCTCTTAATCATGTGTATGTGCAGGTGGACGAAAAAAATCTACTGCCCTTAAATATGGTTAGTGCTCCTTCGTTCTTTAACATCTCATTGATGACCATCAACCTTACTTTATGTAATGTCTTCAAGTAATTCTTCACCATCAAAACAATGGAAAAAGGAAATGTGACATACAATGATACAAATGGTACATAAAATGTGGTACGGAATTATGGATTGGAGTATTTTATAAATTCCTCTTTATTCAGTGTTTTATGCCTTTTGGTAAATTGCAATTGTAATCCGTATTATGTTAAAGCAAAAAAAAGCCTAATTTGGGCAAATGTAGGAAACCTAAGCAATTGCACATTTCAAGCTTGAGAGTTCAATCTCCATTAGAGGCATTCTAAATCTTTGAATAAAGGAATCCCTTAATCTTCTCCCTCACTTTTAAAGTGTCTGTCTCGCAAATATTGAACCAAAAAACTCTGAGAGTTGAGGTCTGATCAGGGTCATTTTCTTTAACTTAAAAATAAAAAGGTAAGTGACCTTAATGTAGTCGTTGTGAGTACAAAGTACGAGCTTGTTATGATCAGTTGACTAGTGTAACTAGCTTGGATGATCGATTAGTGAGAAAAGCTAGTACAGTAGCTAGGGTTTTTCTTCTTTGGAAAAAAACTACTACCTTTGTTCTTGAAAGTTTTTACCATTACTATTTGCACACAAATTAATGTAATTGGTAAAAGTGTTGATGTGGTGGGTGAATGAGTTAATGAAAAATGTGACTAAAGTCTTAGGAATGAACTAAAACAGAAAGCATAAAGAACGTACAGAAATGAAGGTTATGCGTACTCAGTATCCATAATGTTTTTACATACAGCGGTCATTTGAAAAATGATTACCATATTAATATAATGATATACAATATGATCAGTTCATTATTTCACGTTATAAAATGGCCACAATTAGTCTTCTAACATCTACTCCGTACAATGTAAATATAATTTTTAAAAGTTTTAACCCAACATAAAATAAATATTTTTCAAGAAACTATAACATAAGAATCAAAATTACACACCAGTAATTGAAACTAAAAATTTGATAAATAAAAAAAATGTTGATAATACTATTTTATACTAAAAATAAAGTAATATAATTAATTACTTGGAAAAAAATATGTCAATTATGAACTATATAATCATTAAAATATTATAGTAGTCATATTTTAAACGACTATTGTAAAATTTTCACAGTATCTGTATGCATTTGTCATGATCCTGAACGTTCTCTAATCTTCTGTTCTAATTTATGTCATGGTGCAGGGGCTGGTCTAGCTGCTTTATTACTAGGAATAGTGATGTTTTTAATTTTTCTGGTCATTTGGGAAAGCAAAAAACGAAAAACTCATAAAATTTCATTCCTATGGAATAGAAAAGCAATTGGGGATCATAATATAGCAACTTTTTTGGAAAGCTATGGATTTTTATCCCCAACAAGGTACACATACGCTAATATAAGAAAAATGACCAACTCGTACAAAGATAAACTCGGCGAAGGAGGTTATGGAAGTGTTTACAAAGGCAAATTAAACGATGGTCGTGTCGTAGCTGTGAAGAAATTAAAGTTTTCGAAGGGTGATGATGGAAGAGATTTCATCAATGAGGTATTAAGCATTAGTAGGACTAATCATGTCAATGTTGTCACTCTTTTAGGTTTTTGTTTTGAAGGAAACAATAGAGCTCTTGTATTTGAGTTCTTGCCTAATGGATCTCTCGAAAAGTTTATGCATGGTAGAGAGGTTGGCGAATCATTACAATGGAAAACCATGTTTGACATAGTAGTTGGAATCGCCAAGGGACTAGATTACCTACATAGAGGTTGTAATACGCGAATATTACACTTTGATATTAAGCCTCATAATATTCTTCTTGATGAAGAATTCCGCCCAAAGATTTCAGATTTTGGGTTAGCCCGATTGTGTCCACAAAAGAATAGCATAATATCAATGTCGGAAGCAAGAGGGACCATTGGATACATTGCTCCTGAAATTTTAAGTAGATATTATGGCAATGTTTCGCATAAATCAGATGTTTATAGTTATGGGATGATGTTATTAGATCTTGTGTGTGGTAGACAAATTGACAACAATGAAAGTCAAGACAATAGTGAAATGTACTTTCCTGAATGGATATATAATCGACTTGAACGCGTAGAGGACGTGTCAATTCATGGGGTTATGAATGTTGATAATAATAAGGAATTCGAGAGAAAGATGATTATAGTGAGCTTATGGTGCATACAATCATATCCTGCAAATCGACCATCTATGAATCGAGTTGTAGAAATGTTAGAAGGGTCGTTGGAGTCATTACAAATGCCTCCTAAGCCAAATCATTCTTCCCCAACAACATTTGTGTTTGGTTCTTCGCCTATGATAACCACTCGAGACAATTTTTGTTAACCATACATGTAAATTGATGCTAATCAATTATATTATGGTTAATTACCTAAATTAAACCTTTTATATTATATTTCCTGTGGTCAAATTTTTATTAAAAGAACCACTTTAAATCGGGGCGTATATTTTCTAAGGTTTTCTGTTTTTCGCTTTTTTTTTTTTTTTTTTTTCTTTTCAAAATATTGGTTTCCACTTTAAACAAGACAAAGCGGAAGTTTGACTATTTGTACAACTATTATTATTATTATTATTATTATTATAAAATAACAAAAACCTACAAAGTCAAAAGATTTACAAGAAATTAGTGGGGAGCCGAGATACAATCTGGGCCCCACCCCTCTAGCTATAGCGAACCCAATCTTGTTAAAGATGTGAGCAGCCGCACGAGCTCCAATATCTAGAGTCCTAGCGAACGCCTGAACCCGCTTCAGCAACGCAACGACATCCTTCTCTAATTCCCCCAATGAAGAAAAGGAGAAAGGAAGAAAACCATAGCCAATAGCCCTGCAACGCGCCCCATACTTGTCTCGCTTCCGCTGAGCCGCAGCCGACATAACACGACCAGGAACGAAGTCAGACAACCCAGATTGAGTCAATGGAGAAGACCCCGTCAAGTCAACACATACATCTAGGCCTCTATCCCAGGAGTAAAGCAACACATCTGCTGGCCGAAGAGCCCCGTCGTTCCCTCCAGTTAACCCAACGTTGACCTCCTTCCTTGTAGTATCCCCATCAAAAACTCTTGAGCAAGCAGAACAAGGTGCCGATACGGAGAATATAATATTATTATTATTATTATTATTATTATTATTATTATTATTATTATATTCTGTAATAAAGTGAAACTAAAGTAGTATTTCAAGTAGAGGTGTTAAAATTACATCCAACCCAATCCGAAACTAACCCGAAAAAATATACTTCCTCCGTCCCTAAATTACATTCCTCTTAGGGAAATTTACACAGGAATTAAGGAGGAAAGAATAAAACAAATAACAATAATTAGATAATGCAATGGGAAGTACAAAGATAGATTAGTTATTACTCATGACATGTCATCAATCCTTTGCAAAAAAAAAAAGGACCAATCACATGCTCCTAATTGAAAATTTTTTACCAATCATATTCATTGTAATTTGGCACAAGGATTATGAGTGGGATTAGGTAAGGATGAGTGAGAAAACATTAAATATAAAACAGAAAAAGATAGTTGATTTACTAAAAAAAACTTACCAAAAATAGAAAGGAGAAATGTAATTTTGAAATACCAAAAATAGAAAGGAGGAATGAAATTCAGGGACGGAGGGAGTATAACTTTTATTTCAACTCGCAAAGACATAATAAATTATCATGACTCAAGTTCAAATAGATCCAACGTCCCAACCTAATCCGACTTTACCGAACCCAACCAAAATACCCGAATTAACCCCTCTAAATTTTCAATCACAATTTTGTAGAAGCTAGATAACCCTTACAAAACTGAGAAATTTTACTAGGGATTCTCTCTACAGTGTCCAATTTGGATTTTGGAACAAACTTTTACTCCCCTAAAACTTCAGCTTCATTCTATCTCTAGATTCCCTAAATTAATCAAAAATGAACTCTTTTTCAAATCGCCATTTTTATCTTCAATCTTCAATGAGTTGCTCAATTTGCATTCCGCTAGTTCATCAATTTTGCAGTAATCACGGTAATAATTTATCATACACATCAATTTTTATTTATTTATGATAATTCCTTTGTGCTGCTGTTTGATTTGATTTAATGGTAATTTTTGAAGAGGAAAGTGCAGCAAATTTGAAAGCGTCGGTTTTGTTTTCGGCATTTTAATTATCAATTGATTTTGGAGGTAATTTCTCTCACATTTTATTGAATTGGGATTATTGCCACTTGATCAAGTTCTGTGCTTCTTTCGGCCTTTTATATTTTGTTGGACATTTTTAGTTTCAATTATTGTCATTATCATAATTTATAAAGTTTGTTGAAATTATTTGTCTGATTGACTGTACATAATTGGTTTTATTTGGAGAGAGAAATCTTGACTACTTGTATCAGTATTATCAATGCATATATGGAAAAAAAAAACTTCAAACAATGATTCAAATAATTAAACAAATTTAATATTAGTTGAAAATATCAATCATTGTTTTATTTGAATTTATTAGACTTTATAATTCCTCCGGTTGACGTGTTTCTTTGATCACATGTTCTTATGCATAGATTCAACTTTAAATTAATAAGTAAAAATTATAAAAAGTGGTTTTTTTTTTGAAACTTTGAAAGGATTAATGAAATCATACAGTCTTATCTTATCTATATACGTAATCACAAAAGTTTGTAAAGGGTGTCAATTGTTAAAACGTGCTATATACGTAATCACAAAAGTTTGTAAAGGGTGTCAATTGTTAAAACGTGCTATATACGTAATCACAAAAGTTTGTAAAGGGTGTCAATTGTTAAAACGTGTCAACTAATTTGGAACAAAGGGAGTATTATCTTTTCTTTTTTACCGCTTATATTATTTGAACTTATAAGACTTTAAACAAGTGAAATAAAGGCGAGGAGAACAGTGCTTAAATCAATGGAGGCATGTTTTAGGCGAGAAAGGATGTAAGCTTGATGGATTCCTGTGTATCATTTGGTTTCTGATTTTTTTTCTATACTGACAAAATAGTATGTAAACACCATTTTATGCAAATTGAGTGTGTAACTTTTGTAGATCACTTGCTTTGGCTAATAAGTGTAAGTTAAATATATTTAAAGAAAAATAGAGTGTCGGAGAGAGTGTGAGGGTCAATGGTCAAGAAAAGAATAAAGGAATGTTATTAAACAGTTAATGTCCATAAAACGACTTTAAATCAAAAATATGTAGAACTTTATGGAGCAGAGGTAGTACTCATAGTAGTATGTGTTTATTTATATGTTGCATTGTTCATTTTCTAGGAAATGATGTGTTCAAGTCATAAAAATTCTTTTACTATAATAATGTGATGATTTTATGTATTTTGCTTATTTTATTTGTCATTAAACTGGTCAGACGGCTCATATGATTCTTGCTGAGCTAATAATCTAGTTGCAAGCATACAAGTCACAAATAGAACGTACTCAATAGAGTCCGTACTATATAAGTTCCCTGTAGTCCTGTTTCGCAACTGGTTCCATATAATATCAGACCCGGCCCTGCCTAAACAAGAGTAGAATAAATTATTGATTAAAAATTGTTCTATAAATCCAGGCATCATCTACTACACTTTTTTGCAACTCTAACGTTGGAATCATGGCAGCTAGCATTCTAATCATAAACAATACAAAGTAAAAGATAATGTAATATATGCTCTAGAAGTTCCATGCGGGATTCCATCTTAGTATATTTAAATTTATGTACTTAATTCTTTTATAATATAGAACTATCATATGAATGAGAGACAAAAAATAACATCATCACCAAAAAAAGGGAAAACTACTCCCACTAAAAAGTCAAGAAGGGTCCTTATTGGCAACTTTGAATCTAGAGGATTTTAAAGAATTAGGGAATATTTTTCATTTTATGCATGGACGCCTGTTCATTCATGTTACCAAAGTCTTTTAGTCAAATCAAGTCAAATATCTTTGCTAATAAAGACGTTTACCTGCTTAATTTGTTTGGAACTTTCTTACATCCTTTAATCCTTATGCCATCATGGCCTTTATTTTATGTTAATATTCACGCTGACATTCATAAAGATATACATGAAGCACAAAAGCGTTTTGAACACCATCAGAATGATGATCTCAAGTTTCTTTGTTAGCACCCATCTTCCTTACATAACCTTCATTATTTTCCTAGCTTTCTCCTTGGCAAATGGTGAGGATGCAAAGTATGCAGCGTGCTCTAATTTATACTCGTGCGGACAGATCCAAAACATTGGGTATCCGTTTTGGGGAGGGGATAGCAGGCCTGGATTCTGTGGCATCCCAGACTTTAAGCTTAATTGTCTTGCTGGGACAGAGTTCCCTACTATGAATATATATAATAATGGATACCTGGGATTAAATGTGCTTGGCATCAATACATCTTTGCATACCATGTCTATTTCCCGACTTAAGCTGTTGGAAACCTGTTATTTGCAAGATACAAGTAAAATAACCATGATTTCCACATTGAAGCCAGACAGCAATTATAGCTACATAAGCTTATTTTATGGTTGCTCTGATTGTGTCTCTGGATTTCACTCAAAATCTTTTACCTGCTCCAACTCTAATAATCATACTAATGATTTGGCTTATTACTTTGAAGACCCATCAGAGATCAGCAAAATAGGAAAGTTGTGCTCGTGCAAGAACAATGTTACTGTTCCGGTGGACAAGAGTCGGTTAGATGAACTTAGAAGCGCAAACGCCTCACTTTGGAGAATCCTAACAGAGTGGCCAGTTGAGATGGAGTACATGGTGAACTTCACAGCCTGTTCCAAGTGTGAGGAGTCTGGCGGAAGATGTGGATCATCAGTTGATGTCCCATCTTTGGATCAGTTTGTGTGTTATTGTCAGGATGGACCTCATCCATTTTTGTGCTCTCGATCAGGTACATGTCTTTTTTTTTTTTTAATTAAATCAGAAAATTATGAACGTCTCATGTTTGCTCTATCTACTGGGGAAAACGAAGACAATCATGCGAATTGTTCACAACTTTATTTCCTTCTTTCCATGCATAAATCCACCGGAAACTACAAAATCAAACCAAAATAGCACAGGAAAAAGACTCTCCCCTTCACTTATATACCTAATCAAGCATTTGACTCGTGTGATAGGAGTACACAATTTTTTATTTTATTTTAAATGTAGCGTTTTGGGACTTAAGCTTTGTTGTTGTTGCGTTTTGTACTCTGTATTTGTCAGTACATTTACAATCCATGGGTTAATGTTAAGGGGTGTTAAGGTAATGCCTTTTCTAATTTCTGTTATCTGCAATAAGTCATGGGAGACTAAGTTTGGGACGAAAATGTTTGTATTTGATATGCACATACAAACTAATATTTATACCCCTTGTGCAGGTGAACAAAGAAAATTAACAATCCTTGGATCAGGTATTATTATTGTCATGCTGCAGTATATTTGATTTGTATATTACAGTGAAGAGATTTTATGCCCCATGCATGCAAAAAATAAATTTTACATGCACTTGATTTCTAATGTTTTTCCTTCTGAAATGGAGTACATATAGGAGAGGATTCATTTGAAATTCTTTATTCTATGTTAAATTTTCTTTATTGGAAATTCAACTGCATCTACAATTGTGGAATTTTCTCTCTAATTTCCTCTCTACAGGTGTGGCTGCTGTAGTATTAGGGACAGTGATGCTGAGTGCTCTGTTCATATGTGCATATAAAAGACGAGGAACCAATAAATTTCCATTTCAATGGAGTAGAATGACAGGGGATCAAAATGTGGCAGCCTTTCTAAAAAGTTATGGATCCCTTGCCCCAAAAAGATACACTTTTTCTGAAATAAGGAAAATGACTAACTCCTTCAAAGATACACTTGGTGAAGGAGGATATGGTATTGTTTACAAAGGCAGGCTACATGATGGTCGTTTTGTGGCAGTGAAGAAGTTGAAGATTTTAGAGGGTGATGGGAAAGAGTTCATCACTGAGGTATTAAGCATCAGCAGAACTAACCACGTCAACATCGTCACTCTTTTAGGCTTTTGTATTGAAAGATACAAACGAGCTCTTGTATTTGAGTTCTTGCCTAATGGATCTCTTGACAAGTTTATATATGGTAAAGAGATTGGGAAATCATTGGAGCTGGAAACTATGTTCAACATTGCGGTTGGAATTGCTAGGGGCCTTGATTATCTACATAGAGGCTGTAATACACAGATATTGCACTTTGACATTAAGCCCCATAATATTCTTCTTGATGAAGAATTTCGCCCGAAGATTTCTGACTTTGGCCTTGCTAGATTGTGTCCACCAATGAATAGTATGATAACAATGTCGGAAGCAAAAGGGACAATTGGGTACATTGCTCCAGAAGTTTTTTGTAGATATTATGGCAGCATTTCCCATAAATCAGATGTTTATAGCTATGGGATGATGCTCTTAGACCTAGTTTGCGGTAGAAATACCAAAACACATGACACTAGTGAAATGTGTTTTCCTGAATGGATATACAATCGACTTGAGTCCATGGAGGAAGTTGCAGTTAATCAGATGTTGAATGACAATAAAAAGGAGATAGAGAAAAAAATGATTTTAGTGAGCTTATGGTGCATACAGACATATCCGGCAAACCGACCTCCTATGAACAGAGTTGTAGAAATGTTAGAAGGGTCATCAGAGTTGTTACAATTGCCTCCCAAACCAAATCTGTCTTCTGCTACAGGATCCATGATGGATTCCTTGTCTATAACTACCACGTGAGGTCAGGTATGTCCATGCTTTAATACCATGAGAGATATGTCAACTTGTCAAGTGTATTTATATGGCAATGGGACGTGATTTTTGAACATTCAGTTATTGAAGTTATTGTTGTAGGAGATATCAAAATGATATATGTTATCATGTGACTTTAAATATCAATAATAATGATTTCCATTTTCATTAGTGTCCACTTTGTTGTCAGTTTTTTTTTTTTTTTTTGTTTTAATAATCTTGTTAGCTGCTGTCCGCTTATCAAATAATGAAATTGCATATTGTGAAGCATTTTTTTTTGTTTACTGTTGCGGGTATATCCAATGTTATGGGAGCTAATAGGTTTGTGTTGTGGTATTTCAGACTTTTAAGCTCACTTGTCATTATGATCAGAATCACCCTTTTATGAACATATTTCATAATGGATTTGTTGGATCAAGCTTTTGTGGCATGAATCTAACTTCCCACACCATGGTTATTTCTCAAGATTGTTTGTTTATTAATTGTTATTTGCAAGATATGAGTATGTCAACTTTGCTTTCCAAACCAAAGCCAAGCGGCGGTTACTAGGAAATTTGTTTGTTTTATGACTGCTATATTGCTTTTATTACTTTGACTACAATGTTACTGTAGTACTGTATCAGTGGTTCATCTTATTACTTTGTTACTCATCAGGATAGGTAATTCCTGCTCCAGCAAGAGCAATGTCACATTTACAGTGTTTAGCAGTGGATAAGTGAGCTTAACCATAATTGCTGCTTATGAGTATCCAAATGAGTGGCCAATACAGATGAAAAACATAGAAACTGCTGAACTTTTCAGCCTGAGAGGAGTCTGGACTCTGGAGGCAGATTGGGTTTTGGGGATCATCAGGGAGTCCTACACTAGGGTCGTATGGTTTGACAAAAAATTAAGCTCATTATAGTTAGTCTTAAGACTAGCAAGCTAAGTCCAGACAGACAACTCTATTTCCTTTCCTCCTCTCCCAATTTTTGTAGGAGCCCCTTCTGAAGCCTCCCATGCTGCCTCCTCACTATGTGTCAACCCCGTCTGAAATCATCCCCCACCCCAACCCCCTCCCCTCCCCATTTCCATCTTGGAATCTACTGAGCCTCTTTTTCCTCTTAGTTTTCTCTTTAAATGACTTCCTACTTTCAGGCAACACCCTGCCCAAGTCACTAGTTTGATCAGCCATCTGCATCCCCACTGATGCACCAAAAGTCCTTTGGATAAAAGGTACAATTTTTGGCACTCCTTTTGTCCCCAAATAAATGTCTCTTTTGCTTTCTATATGTTTAGAAATATAAATAAAAAGGGAAGATAAAGTAAAGGTGAATAGTACAATTAAAAAATAGTGGGGTTTAGTTGATTAGAAATGAATATAATAAAACCAGATAATAGGATTTGGTTGATTAAAAGGTGAAAATTTAAATCAGGATAGTAGTGTTTAGTTAATAAAAATTAAGACCTATTTAAATACAATTATTATTTTTTGATTAAGTCAGATTTTTATGGGAGTAGCTAAATTAAGTCGTTTTTTTTTTGTGTGTTTGTTTATGAATATGTTTGATTATTTTGTGTTTTAAAAGTTAAAATTGCAGGAATGGGTTATTAAATACAAGACTTGATTTAAATCATTGCAAAGATATACCCCACACACACACATACAAGACTTGATTTATATCATTGCGCTTGTGCGTGTGCACACACACACAAGACTTGATTTACATCATTGCAAAGATGATTTGATTTATATCATTGCGCACAGACAATTTATATCATTGCACACACACACGCACACATACACACACAAGACTTGATTTACATCATTGCAAAGATGACTTGATTTATATCATTGCGCACAGACACACACATAATTAAATGCTATTGCAAAAATATACTTTACAAAAGGAAGAGAAAGAGAGATTTGTAATGCAAGAAGATGATACAGTGAAACTAAAACTCAATTTTTGTCATAAATTCTCATTCATTCACAACTTCAGGCTACCCATATATGTAATCCAAGTCAACTTTGATCAACTCAAATCTTGATGATAAATTGTACCCCTACACGGTTGGAAGATTCTTATGTGAACTTGAGTCTTATTGCTTTTTATGTCTTCAATTCGCTTCATGCGTGCCCTGAATTTTCACATAGAGCTAGGTGTAATAACTAATAATGTGAATATAGAGTATATGATAACCTGTTTTAATTTAATTTTCACATCAATCATTGATTCATTGCATAGAGTTTTGTATGACAAAGTAGTTGTTGATTACTTCATATTTTAAGTTTAAAAGTGTAGTGGTTAAGAAATGTTTGTGAATAGCATAAACGTTTTAAATGATGCAACTTAAACAGAAAAAGGGAACTGTGCTGCCTGCATTTCACATTTTCATACGCATGACTATAATTGTCTTCACGAATATCCACCTGAACCACCTTAAATGAGGCCAAAACGGCTAAACTTCAGTCGGTATGTATAAGTGCTTGTTGAAAGTTAAATTTGACCACTCATATATTGTCCTCTCTAAATATTTTTTTTACAAGAAAAAAAAAAATACTTGTATATTTTTTTAACAATGATCTCTGGTTTCTTTGGCATCAGCTTTCTTCCCATAACCTGCATCATCTTGTTTTTGGCTGTTGTTCCCTTGTCAAATGCTGAGGATGCACGATATACATCATGCTCTATTCCGTACTCGTGTGGTCATCTCCAAAATGTTGGTTATCCATTTTGGGGAAGTAATCGGCCCAAATACTGTGGGATCACAAACTTCTTGCTCGACTGTAAACATTCTAGTTTAAATAACCCTGGTATGATCGTATATCAAAATGCAAAAGCCACCTTAAGTTTAAGAGTGCTTGGCATCAATACATCTTCCCATACCATGGTTTTTTTCATAAATTTTCAGTTCAATAGGTGTTATTTGACTATGCCAGATTTAAACAATATAACCTATCTTCCCGTATTGAAGCCAGAGGTTGGTTATAGATTTATAAGCTTATTCTATGGTTGCGCTAATAACTGTTACTCCAAATACTACTAAAGGACTTTTTCTTGTTCTCACGATGATGGGACTATTGGTACTGCCTATTACTTTGGTAATACATCAGACATCACTTACATCAGCAGGATAGGTAACTCATCATGCTCGTGCAAGTACAATTTTACTTTTCTGGTAGATAAGAGAGCGGTAGATGAGCTCAGTCGTAGCCCAGATGCCTCATTTCTTAATGTCTTAAACAAGTGGAGAACTGTTAGGATGGAGTACATAGTGAACTTCACTATCTGTTCTAAGTGTCAGAAATCTGGCGGCAGTTGCGGGTCAGATCCATCTTCAGATCGGTTCGTTTGTTATTGCCGAGATGGACCTCAGCCATTTAAGTGTATTAAACCAAGTACATCTAAATCAGGTGCATAATTCATTACTTGGCTCTTTGTTTTTTGAAATGCTCACCAGCTTTATTACAATAGATTACAGTGAAATATTAAATACTAAGTATTTGCTTTAGGGTCAACTTGATCTAGTTGATACTTAAAATAGATTATAAAGTGATTATCAAGTCTTCAAAGCAATTACTAACTACTTTTGATTGTTTTAACATATGGATTTTTCAATATTATCATGTTTGGTTATTGGAAGATAACACATCAGGGAAAAAAAAAATGGAAATCTTATACTTGGGTCACTTAGTTTTGTATATTTTTCTTTTAAAATTAACTTTTATAAAAAGTGAATCTACAATTCTACAGTACTCTCAAAATAAATTTTGTACTCCTAATTAAATGAATCTAATTTCCTAAAAAAAAAAAATCTAATAATGGGAAACTAGGAGAATCTTTTCACTCCTAATAATGATCCAACGTCCAATAAGAAAACAAGTCTATCTCAGTTAGGGTTTAAGGAAGAAATGAATGTATAAAAATGATCTCAAAAAGTATTTGATATTGCAAATTATTAGCATCAAAGGTTTGATGCATAAGCACAAAGCAGCAAATTAATGTCTACAAGTCATTCCTTTGTGCAGGTTTACGACGAAAATTACTATTTGGATCAGGTATTATACTTATTATGTGTACTGCATACATTATCTTTTGACATGTACTTGTTAGTTATTACAAATATAAGTTTTAGTAGAGAGGATTAACAGAGAGGGAGATGGATTTGAAAATTGAGGAAACTTCTCTATGATTGTTACTCTACAGGTGCAGCTTCTTCACTCCTAGGGACAATGATGTTGGTTGCTTTGGTCACCCGTGCAAACAGAACACGGGAAACCAGTAGAATTTCATTTCTATTGAGTCGACGAGCAATAGAAGATCAAAATGTAGCAGCCTTTTTGAAAAGTTATGGATCTCTTGCACCAAAAAGATACACATATGCAGACATAAGGAAAATAACCAATTTCTTCAAAGATAAACTTGGTGAAGGAGGTTATGGAAGTGTTTACAAAGGAAGACTACACAATGGTCGTTTCGTGGCAGTGAAGAAATTGAAAGTTTTAAAGGATGATGGGAAAGATTTCATCAATGAGGTATTAAGCATTAGCAGGACAAATCATGTCAATGTTGTTACTCTTTTAGGATTTTGTTTTGAAGGTAACAAAAGAGCTCTTGTCTTTGAGTTCTTGCCCAATGGATCTCTTGAAAAGTTTATTTATGGTAAAGAGATTAGACAGTCATTGCAATGTGAAACTATATTCAACATTGCAATTGGAATTGCACGGGGACTAGACTACCTGCATAGAGGTTGCAATATGCGAATATTGCACTTTGACATTAAGCCTCATAATATTCTTCTTGATGAAGAATATTGCCCAAAGATTTCTGACTTTGGTGTTGCTAGATTGTGTCCACTAAAGAGCAGTTTGATTTCAATGTCAGAAGCAAGGGGGACAATTGGGTACATTGCTCCAGAAGTTGTTTGTAGAAATTTCGGTGGCATTTCCCATAAATCAGATGTTTATAGCTATGGGATGATGCTCATTGACCTAGTTTGTGGTAGGAATAATCCGACTAATGAAGTTCAGGACAGCAGTGAACTATACTTTCCCGAATGGATATACAATCGACTTGAGTCTATGGAGAATGCTGCAGTTGATGAGGTTATGGGCGTTGGCAAAAATGAGTTGGAGAGGAAAATGATTTTGGTGAGCTTATGGTGCATACAGCCATATCCCTCGAACAGGCCACCTATGAAAAGAGTTGTAGAAATGTTGGAAGGGCCATTTGAGTCCCTACAAATGCCACCTAAACCACATTCACCTCCGCCTTCTGGATTTGTGTTTGATTCCTCACTTATGAGTACATCTTAATGTTCAATTCGTCATATGAAGGCTGTCTATCAGATGAGAAGTGTCAGATGCATGTTGATGATGTTGTGTTTAGGTGCATGAATCTGTTATAAACTTTTATTGTACTTCTATGATGCTGAAAGTACAATATTTATCAGAAGCAGAACAATGAATCATTTGGCTGTGTGATTTGATTTTGTAACATGCATTAACAATCAGTACTGATGCAGTTATCTGTTATCTCAAAGATGATGGATATTGCCATCTGTTCAAAAGGAAAAAAAGATAAAGATGATATATGATTGTTTTCCTTTTTTTTTTTTTCCTTCTATCCTGCTGTCTTTTCTTTGTTGTTTTTCAGTTTTTTTTGCTGCTGCTATACTTTAAGTCCATTTCAATTTCCAATCACTTCGTGATAGTCCTGATAGATCTACTCAAGGTGAAGGCAGGGGAGAGTACACAAGGGAATGGCAGTTATCAAGATTGACTACTCGCACCGAATGGCTAGAAGTGTGGTTGCTCTGCCAGCCTCATCAGTTGGACTTCTTCTGCAGTAAGCCAACACGCTGTCTAGTACCATCACTCGATTAAACAACTAGGATAGAGGAATGGGAATTTGGGAGAGATGGATAAAGTACAGTGGGACTGGAATTCATTCATTGCTATATACTTTTCATTCATGTTATCTGATGCCAAGTCTTGAAATCAAGTCAACTGAATGTCTTTTTGCTAGCCAAGCAACAGGTTCCTTTTTTGGGTGCTTTTAGTAGTTTTCTTTCTGACTTTCATGAAGAGTGCCTCAGCGACCTCAGGTATCAATAAAAATGATCTCCAGTTTCATTAGTGTCCGCTTTTTCTTCATCTATAACCTTATCTGCAGTTCACTTACTAAAATAATGAGAATGCAAATTATACAGGTTGCCTTATTCTTTACTCATTCGGGCATATCCTAAATCTTGGGTACCAGTTTAGGGGATGTAATAGGCATATGCCAGTATTTTGTGGGGTTTCAGACTTCATGTTATTGTGTCTCCAGATATCACTTCAAGTCTGTTAGGTGCTCCAACTATGATGTGTACCAATGGTTCTGCTCTTTTACTTTGTAACTCATTGAACATAAGCAGGATAGTCAAGTTCTGCTCCTGCAAGATCATTGTCACATACTTCATATGTAGTGGATGAGAGTGGGGTGAGCGAGCTTGAAGCACAAAAGCCTCGCTTATGAGTGTCCAAGGTCTCCAACAGATAGGATACGTAGCGAACTTGACAGCAGAGCCTGTTCCAACTTCCAAGTGTGAGGAGTCTGAGGCAGTTGGGAATCATTAGGGGATCTATAATTCGTACAGTTTGTTATTGCCAAGGTGGAGGCATGGAGCAACCTTAAGTGTGTTCACAATCAGGTGCGTACTTTATCACCCAGTTCTTTAGGAGTTTAGGGTAGCTACTTAAAATGTACTACTTAGGGTTTGTTCTCATTGAGTGAACTTAGCTGAGCTGAGCTAAGCTAAACAACTGAACTGAAATGAATATTTTATAAGAGAGGGAAATTAGGAGCTGACCTAAACTGAACTGAACTGAGCTGAACTGAACTGAAAATAAACATATGAGAACAGACCCTTAGTACAATGTTACTTGTAAAGAATGATGATTGATAGTATTTGGATCCATTTTCCCAAAGCTGACTGCAAATTGAAATCCAATTTATTGCTCGCCTGCAAACTAACAAGGTGAGCTAAATCAAGTGTGTTCCTAAGAAACCCCCGCTCAGGCTATAATATCAGGTCGAAAATTAGGAGAGATAGCCTAAGTTAGTAGAATAAAATACCTGAACATAATGCATCAACGTGGCCATTTGGAATTTTTAGGTAAATCGTAGTAGTAATAAGTTAGGGCAATTTCGTAACTTCAATTTTAGGGATACTTTAGTAAATACCTTAGTGGGTTCTTAATTTTGAGGGGTAGTGTCGTAGGGACCCAAATACTTTTTGTGACTTTTTGTCCAAGTAAATCCAAGTCTTCTTGATGATATAAGGGGTAGTGTCTTAGGGCCCCAAAAAAAAAGAGAATAGTCATATTATCCTAACCTACAAGCCAGTTTGGAATTTTCATATGTGAAGTGAAAGAATAGCCCCACTTTTCTTTTTTAAATACATCTTGATTTAACTGTTATGGAGTACTATCATCTAATAATTTATGAGTTTATTGCATCACTTTTACCAAAAGTTTAGGCTTTATATTCTCTCGGTTAAGTATCACTTCTTCTCTGTATTCTAATTTTATTACTAGAAAACCTTGGTTCTTTTT